GTTTTCTAGCTACAATCAGATTTTGATGGCACCCGAAGACCAGGAGAAGACTGCTTTTACCACCCCGTGGGGAACCTATTGTTATAGGGTGATACCGTTTGGGCTGAAGAATGCTGGGGCTACGTATCAACGGGCTGCGACCACAATTTTGCATGATATGATCCATAAAGAGGTTGAGGTGTACGTGAATGACATGGTTGTCAAGTCCAAGGAAAGAGAGGGCCACTACAGCGCCTTGCAGAATTTATTTCAATGGATCAGAGAGTATCGGTTGCGGCTAAATCCTCAGAAGTGTACTTTTGGTGTTACAGTAGGGAAAATGTTGGGGTTCTTGATCACGCAAAGGGGTATCGAGGTCGATCCTTCCAAAATCAAGGCCATCTTAGAAATGGCACCACCAAGGACTGAAAATGAGGTGCGAGGCTTTCTAGGTAAAGTGCAATTCATAAGACGGTTTATTGCTAAATTATCCTTGACTTGTGAACCACTCTTTGGTCTCCTGAAGAAAGGAAAGAATTTCCAATGGGACGGCCGATGCCAAGCAGCTTTCGAGCAGATCAAGCAATATTTATGGAACCCACCTATGTTGTCACCGCCTGAGCCGGGGAAATCGTTAATACTGTATCTTTCAGTGACTGAAACTACAATGGACTGCATGCTTGCACAGTAGTCTGAGGACAAAGTTGAGAGGGCTATCTACTACCTGAGCAAGAAAATGCTGGATTATAAGACCCGCTACACTCCGCTGGAGAAGGCTTATCTGGCCTTGCTATGGGCTACCAGGAAGCTGCAGCACTACCTGTTAGCTCACTCTATAATACTGGTTTCGAGATTAGATCCCATCAAATATCTTTTCGAGAAACCAGCACTTATGGGTAGGCTAGCTCGTTGGTTGCTTCTGCTTTTCGAATTTGATCTAAGGTACATGACGCGCAAGTCAGCAAAAGGGAGAGCAGGTAGCGGAGTTTCTAGTTGATCACCCAGTTGAAGGGGATGAAGCAGTTGAGTATCTGTTCCCAGACGAGGCCATTCTGCATGTCGAAAAAGAGACCTGGACGATGTATTTTGACGGAGTGTCAAACCAATACGGGTATGGGATAGGGGTGTTGCTGATAGCACCCGACAATTCCCGTATACCTCTAGCATTCAAACTCCAGTTCAAGGTATCAAACAATGAGGCAGAATATGAAGCATGTATCGCTGGACTGGAAGCAGTCCTGGAACTAGTGGCACAATGGTTGGATGTCATCGGGGACTCGAACGTTGTTGTATCTCAAGCTAAAGGAGATTGGAAAGTTAAAGAAGAAAAGATGAGAATCTACCACCAGACCTTGGACGTGCTGATTCCCAGGTTTGAGAAACTGAACTTTGCACATCTGTTAAGAGAGAACAACAGGTTCGCAGATTCATTGGCAACTCTATCTTCTATGATAAACATCCCTTTCGGAGTCCGGACGCGTCTGATCATCATCGAACAGAAATTTGGGCCAACCTCCAAGCTGATTGCTGCCATAGATGAGGTACAAGATGAGAATCCCTGGTATTACGATGTCTGGAACTTCTTGGAAAAAGAGGCGTATCCACCAGGGGCAAATGCCAAAGATAAGAGGGCAATTCGAAGAATGGCTACTCAGTTCATCATCTGCGGGAAAAACTGTACAAGAGGGGTCATCTCGGGATGCATAAACTGTGTGTTGATGCTGAAGAATCCAAGCGCCTGATGGAGGCCGTCCATGGCGGAGAGTGCAGAGCGCACATGAACAGGGTAATGCTAGCCCGGAAGATCCTTAGACAGGGTTATCACTGGTCCACTATGGAGGAGGATTGTATTGGCTTTGTTTGACGATGCCACAAATGTCAGATCCATGCAAACCGTATGAACATTCTGCCGTCGAAGCTGTACAACAGGACTTCGCCATGGTCGTTTCCAGTCTAGGGGATTGATGTAATTGGGGTTGTCACTCCGAAGGGGTCTAATGGGCATGAGTATATTCTGGTCGCGATAGACTACTTCACGAAGTGGGTCAAGGCTCAATCTTGAAGGCATCGCATGTCGCTAAGTTCATCAGGAACAACATCATCTGTTGCTACGGGGTCTCGAATGAGATTATTTCAGATAATGAGGGGGCAAATGTTGTAATAAGCGTACGTGTGTGTGATGGTTGTCTTCCAACCCCCATTTCTTTCTCCTTTTTACTTATCAGCTTTCGATTGTTAGTTTAGGGCATGTTTTAATTAGCATACTTATGCTTGCATGTTTACATTCATTCATTTGTCTTGCATGCACCGAGCTCGGCGCATCATACAAACTACATTGTATTTCAATACAATTACTTGAATACGTGTTCAACAGCATGTTATCAAGTTGCATTTCGCATGACATCTTAGAATAGCCGAGCCTATCTTAGTTACATTTTGCATGTGTTGCATTAGGCATCTTAACATAGCTAGGATCATGCACCGATTACTAACTAGCTTCTATTTTGGCTCGGAGTACACTGTGAGTGTTTTCGCTTTAGCATCCTTGCATGTGTGTAAGTGACTGCCATGATAGCATGCTTGCCATGAGACTAACTGCTTAAGTGTTTAACTGCATGAATGCCTGTGAATGAAGGTTGGATTGCTTGAATTGGAACAATTCATCAAAATGTACGTTTTAAGCCCATTTTGTAGAGTGGCAAAATCATGTTTTCTAAGCTCACTTGAGGGTGGCAAATCCACGACTTAGCCTACTTGCGAGTAGTAATTCTAAACCATTTTCAAACAAACGAACATGAAATGTTTTGTTCTAACTTAGGCGATCTAGTCTATACTTGTATGCTGTGCGCATCACGTAGTAAGGTTAGATTAATAACCAGAATAAGAGCACATGTGTTTTTCAAAAACAATATATGATGCTTAGTAAAGGCCGATTTTTTGATCGGGCGAGCGGGGGTGCTCATTGCATGACCTTCCCCTCTCGTACCCAAGTTCCCGAGCCGAGGCAACTTGGGTGATGACGGACACATGGCCTTAGGCACGAGTCAGGGTTTCCTAAATTTCCCCCAAATTAAAATATTTAGGTGGCGACTTTATATCTGGCAAAGCAGTCCATGTTTGACACTTCTTTATTAAAATCGATTTTTCAAAAGAATTTGCCGGATTTGGACTCTTTGGTGATTTATCAGTATTGCATTGCACTTTGTGAGATTAGATTCAGAACCGTGACACGAGTCCAAACTGTAGTAGCTAAGAACAAAATGATTCGCGCTCACGCGGCGTGGAGAGCGGAGTTCTGGGCGGTCTACATTGGGTAAGTGGTACGGCAATTTTGGAGAAGTCCTTAACAAACCTTCGGTAGTACCTAGCTAATCCCAAGAAACTATGCACCTCGGTCATATTAGTAGGGGTTGGCGAATTTATAATAGCTTTGATCTTGTGTGGGTCAATAGAAACGCCCTCCTTCGTTATAAGATGTCCCAAGAACCACACTTCATGTAGCCAAAACTCACAGTTCTTCAACTTTGCATATTGTTTCTTGTCTCAAAGTGTCTGCAGAATCAATCGAAGATGGTTTTCATGAGCTTCTGCATCTTTCAAATAAATGAGGATGTTGTCGATGAACAGTACTACAAATTCATCCAAACAAGGCTTAAAGACACGATTCATTAAATCCATGAATGCTGCCGGTGCATTGGTGACTCCAAACGGCATAACCAAAAACTCATAATGACCGTATCGGGTTCGAAAGGCAGTCTTCTCAACATCCTCATCTTTGACCTTTAGTTGGTGGTACGCGGACCGTAAATCAATTTTCGAATAGACTTGTGCCCCTTGTAATTGATCAAATAAGTCATCGATCCTAGGCAATGGGTGCTAATTCTTGACTGTTACTTTATTAAGGTCCCTATAGTCCACACACAATCGAAGGGTCCCATCTTTCTTCTTTACGAAAAGAATTGGTGCGCCCCAAGGCGAGGTGCTCGGGCGAATGAACCCCTTGTCAAGTAGATCTTGCAACTGAACCTTCAACTCTTTCATCTCAGCCAGCAACATCCTATAAGGAGTTTTGGAAATGGGTTGAGTTCCCGACACTACTTCAATTGTAAACTTAATTTCAAGATCCACTAGCTTTCCCGGTAACTCCTCCGAAAAAACATCAGGAAATTCACAGATGATTGGAATCATATCAACACACCCATTCGCTGGTTGCCCCTTCAAGACGCTACATACATAACCTTGACACCCCTTTTGTAATAGTTTGCATGCCTTTATTGCGGAAATTAAGTAAGGTGGAGAGATCACTCCATGCCCCTTAAAAGTAAACTCTGGCTGCCCCGGAGGGTGAAAAATAACTTTCTTAGACATACAATCAATAGTCACATAATACTCACTTAACTAATCCATTCCCAAAATTATGTCAAAGTAAGCCATATCAAGAGGTAACAAGTTGGCATATACCCGGACATCCCCAATTAAGAGTTCACATGCAAAGTAAATAGATGTACAGACCATAGAATCCCCCAAAAGTGAGGACACAACAACATATAAGGTAGCGGTTCCATAGGTCTATTTAAATGACGAACAAATTTTTTTGACACAAAGGAGTGGGTAGAGCCTGAATCAAATAACACATGAGCAGAGTGACCATGAATAGTAAATGTACCTGATACTACCGCTTCAGCATTTTGCACGTCGCTCGGAACCAATGTAAACAGTCGTCCTTGCCTAGCGGTATCTTTAACATTGGTGGGTTTTGCAGCTGGCTTTGTGATTGGAGTTGGGGTGGAGACTGCCAAACTTGTAGTGGTTCTATTCCCGTTTTGCCGATCTCTTTGAGGACAATCCCTTACTAAATGACCCGTTTTGCCACACTATGCCCCGATCACCCGATAGCAAGTCCTACGGTGTCTCTTTCCATAATCCGGACAAATGGGTGCTGAGTATTGAGTAGGGGTGGAAGCACTCGAAGTTCCCAAATTCAATTTCTTACTTGGTGGAGTCGTTGGTCCCCTTGGTGCTTAAGTATTCTGTCTCTTCCCTCTCCACTCAGAAATCCGACTCTGAGCAGCAATATTTCCCTCTACCATGATTACTCTTTCCAATACATTGACATATGTAGGTAATTTCAACACATTGATTCGATCAAGAATAGCATTCTGTAATCCTCCTTCAAATTTTCTTGCCTTCTTATAGTCCGTGTCCACCATATGGGGTGCAAAACAGGCTAGTTCTACAAATTGAGCTTCATACTCGGCAACGATCTTATTCCCTTGTCTCAAAGTCTCAAACTCAGTCCTCTTCTTATCTCACATACATTGTAGAAAAAATTTGTCGTAAAAGAGTTCTAGAAATTGGGCCCAAGTCAACCCTTGATGTTCAATTCTCGAAAGCATCCACCACCTACGTTCTTCATCTTCGAGAGTGAAGGCAACAAGTTGTACCTTCTGAGCTTCATTGCATGGAAAAACCTCAAATAACTTCTCTACACCCAACACCCATGCCTCTGCTTTCATCGGATCAATCCCCTCCTTAAACAGAGGTGGCTTCATCTTCTTAAATTCCTTTGTAAGTGTAATTGTCTGATCTTCAGCCTGATGATCTTGCACCACTGGTGGTAATATAGGCACTGGTGGCGGCGGTGGTTGTTGTTGCTGTTATTGTTTCTGCCTTAAAGTTTATGCCATTTCTATAATCATTTTTTTCCATTCTATCTAACCGTGCGGAGGTAGAATCCTCCAGATAATCCATCCTCACCATGATCTACATAGCAAGAAATTATAATACACACAAAAATACACAAATAAACATGGATGCTAATCATTTCAAAATACATGTCGTTAATTCTTACATATACAAATCTCGTTGTTATACATATCATCTTGTATGCACTAGACACAACAGGCATGTATCCTAAGCCGTTCTAGACTCCCTAAAGCTAAACGGACTCATGTGTGAGATAGCAACTCAGGCTCTGATACCACCTATGATGACCCAAACTCGCCCCTAAAAGTTTGGGCATGAATGACCTAAAAATAGGCCTCAAAACCAAATAATCAAATAATGCATATACGTCTTATACAATGCCAGGGCCTAAATGAAAGCAATTAATAATCAAATATGACATCCATTGAGCAGTGTTTAAATGCCAGGATCACAAAACATTTCCATCACATAATGTGGCACATACATAAGTCACATCTATATGTATATATATACAAGCCCAACCTAATAAGTGGGGGGTGTAACCAAAAACATCTAAGAGTTAAAAGTTATTCATGTTATTCAACGTTTGACAACAGTATTAATGACCCACAATTGTGTAATATAAAAGGAACTCTACAAAAGGAAAAAGGGCTTCACTTTAATTGTCTTGACATAGCGGGGTCGACAAAAGAGCTGTTGGAGCTAGACTAGGACTGGCCCTCAGGCTAATTACCTACATAAGTATATACAATATAGAGTGAGCGAAACTCAGTGAATTATAACAATGTAAGGAAGTTCATATAAATAAGCATAAGACATAATGAACATAAACTTATAAATCACGTGCTTATCTTGGTCCTGCATTCATCATCCAGAATGGCCGCGAGCCCAATATCATCTAGAATGGCCTTCGGCCCAACATATCAACTGTTGTTCGGAACATTGGAGGGTAGATAGAACATCGACATGTCTCTACCTCCCTCGTCCTTAGGCCATGAGTCATAAACAATTCATATCATTATAGGGTCGATGGAACATCGACATGTCCCCATCTTCCTCGGCCTTAGGGCCACCAATAATAAATAGCTCACGTTAGAACGGCCTCAGACCCATTAATAGCAAAACAGAACGACCTCGGGTCCATATTAATACCATTGTTCGAACGACCTCTGGTCCATATTAATACCATTGTTCAAACATTTCAATTCAAGTGTTCCAATCATCCACAATATCGCGAATACAACCCATTCACAAGTAACGATATCCCATCAATAATTATCGGAAGTAAATGGAACATGACTTTACACTACTATTACTCACAGTGCTATGGAGGAGCAACAATCCCTTCCTGTACATGACCTACACATAGCATACAACTCATAAGTCAGTCACATTCCTTTAGTCTTTTTCTTTTACTCAATATCTAATTTGTTCAACTCTCACTTAATTACAAGCATTTTAGAAGGATCATAAGTACATATTAGCAGTCCTAGAGGGTCTAACAAAGAAAAAGAAGCATACATAATTTTTGCCCTTGGGCTGCACGTGCGGAAGTCCTCCACCGCACATGCAGGAAGGTGGGCCACACGTGCGGAGCCGCACGTGCCTTTATTTCTGAATCTCAAATTTTCCTCCCCTGTTTTCCACACGTGCAGTTGTGAGCCCCGCACATGTGGTTGTGCTTCCCGCACATGCGGTCGTATACGCTGTTTTGAGCAGTCCGAACTTAGACAAGAATCCAACTGACCAAACACATTACAAAGTGCAAAATGGGGAAATTCTTCCCAATATCATGATATATCATCACAGTAAACATGAATCACAAGCATAATTAGATCACAACCCTTTTCAAATTCATATACACAACCCAAATCTTTTATGTTTCCATCTATACTTGGTTTATCAAATATATATATAAACATCTAAATGCATGTGTGAGTTCAAAACATGTAAAACTAAAGAATAAGAGGTAATTCTCCACAACATAGCTCAAAACATCCCAAAACACAAGAATCATCCTTCAAATCAACCAACTACCATAAGCAAGATTCTTATTGTAAACCCTAGCTTACATGAATGTAAAGATTTCCTACTCAAATCAATTAGAGAGAGAGGTGAGGATATGCTAGGTAAATTATACCTACTTTGAACTCTAATCTCTAAAATTCTTCTCATTTTCTTCAATCTTCACTCTTGTTGAAGCCTCCTCTCACTTCTCTCCCTCTCTAGCACTCCCTCCTTCACAGGAGATATTTTCTTTTGTGATGAGAAGCCCCTAGGTCAAGAGTCTAATGGACTATTTAAAGATTAACCTCCAATTAATCAATTTAATTATTACGAATCAAATTTTTACAAAAATTTATATTATGATCTAAAAATCATGCTCATTACAATTATAAAGTCAGTTTCGGGCTATCGCGCTTCTAGGGCTTCCAATTACTAACTCAAACGTCGCAATTGTAACAGATTTTCACACAACTAACAAATATGATTCCATAAATATATAATTCACATAATTAAACACAATTTCACATGGAATTTCACATTAAACATATAATTACACAGATAATGAAAGGTTGAAAGCATATAAGAGGGTCGGGTTATTTCAACTTCAAATGTTGTAAATAGGAAAGATTTTTATGAAATGTGTTTATACTAAAATGGTTAGTGATTGAAATTAATGAAACATATGAAGGGAGATGTTCATGGTGATTAAAACTAAAAACACTAATTTTAAATGATTTGATGATGTTCTAAGAAATTATGAACTATATTGATGATTGTGAATTAAAAAGTGAAATAGAACAGATAGGTAAAATGAAGAGTGGATGTAAATGTAAGTTACGTGGGAACTCAGATAATTTTGAAACTTAACCAAAAGAGTTATATTGGTTGATGTGATGGTTATCTTAATTAACACTTCCAGAGCGGTATTGTTTGTTGTGGAATGACTTGAGCATATTATGATGTGTTGTTGATTACTTGTTAGTTTGAATGAAGTGGGAACATGATGAATAATGAAAGTGCTATATGGAGGTTCCGTTTTCCTTCCGGTTTGTGCCCAGTAAAAATTATGTGATATTGAATGATACAAAGGGTCTGTTTCCTTTTGGCTTGTGACTAATAAAGCATGGCACATTGACATAGGTTCCACTTTCCTTCCGGTTTTCACTCGGTAAAGCGTGTGCACTATTAGGTTATATGGAGGTTCCACTTTCCTTCCGGTTAGCCACCAGCAAAACTTGGCACTTTCAAATAGGTTCTAGTTTCCTTCCAGTTAGTGCCCGGTAAACTATGTTCGAATGGCTTGACAAAGCCGGGTTGTGAAATGTGATAGCATTCGTAGTTTTGCATGTGTAATTGCATGGAATTTTGTGTATATACGGGGTTGTGATAGAGGATCAAAGTGTGTAGTTGAGATAGTTCTATAAAGAATTAGATTTATAATTTGTTATCCTAAGTGATGAATGTTAGGCTTGGTAATTGTTTGAGGTCTTTCATTATTTGTGAGATGGTGGGCTTGTTCTTGTGGCTAAGGCTTTCAAATTGAAATAAAGGTCTAGAGAACTTTTAAGAAAATAATTGCTTAATTGAAAGGATTTTCTTAAAATGTTAAAAGGGACTTCTTTTGAAAAAATATATGTATGTATGTAAATACTTTGGATATAAAAAGACACCATTATCTATGTACATATATTGTGAGCATTCATGATCGCATATATCTACAGGTTATTATTGATTAGAATCATTGCAGATCCCTACTGGACCTTTGTGTTCATCTCTGTTGTTAAACAATTTTTTAGGTACATAGTTGAATGCGTCGTCCAAGATCAAGGAATTATTTTGTTTTGATTTATTATTGCACTTATAATGTAACAAGAATGTATTTGTATTTATTATAATTATTTTATTCTGTAACCCTTTATGTAAGTTTAAGGGCATGTATTGAAATTAATGGTATTAAACATTTTATTACGTCATTTATGAGAGAAAATATAAATCATTAATTGTTTTATATTGTCTTCGCTTTATATTATGTCATAAAAGAACCTTAATAAGGAAAGTGATAACTATATCCGAGTAATAAAAGTTGGAGCATTACACATGACAAGGTAGCGATAGGGCACCCTTTTGGGTAGGCCAGCTATATTCAAAGAGAAAATGGCAACGAGAAGTGATGTTGGTTTTGGTTGCAATGGGTTTGGTTAATATGGCGATGGAGGCAGAGTACTGTATGAAGGTGGTGGATATGCTAATCTCTACAATACCACTTTGCTGTGAAACTCTAGCTATGGCATTGGCACCATTCAATTGAAAAAAAATCCATTGACAAAAAGAAGATTATTGGCAAATATCAAAACATACGAGACAACATAAACAAATTATGCAGCCAAATATATATATATATATATATATTCTGAATATGTATGTCAAGATGCAACATAAAAATATTAAACACCACAAGAGATGCAAGGATTTAAGTTGAAATCCTCATTTGGGGAGAAAATCATGGCACAAGCCAAACAATCCACTAATCACGAAGAAATTACGTTGTACATGTAATGTGACTTACAACCAATTACCAAGGTAGAACCTACAACAACTTGTTAACTCAAAACCTTTAGTTCTATCCAGATCTCCACAACGATGGCCACAATCTCCAATCTGACCTCTTCTTGAGAGAGGAAACAATATACAACATGTTCTGTTTGGCTCCAATGATCATTCATTCATAATGTCTACTCACGTGTCTTTTTCACCAAATATATATATATAAATTATAAGAAATACATTACAAGTGGAGTCATTGTTTATTATTGTAAGGAAATAGTTATTTTATAAAGAG